TCCTTGCATCGCTGCCTGACTTGCCGTACGCAGGTGCGAGCGCGATAATTTATGCCACGGTGTGCTATCTACTGCTTCGGCCCACCTCTGCACTATGGCCTGTGGTTCCTTCCGCAATGGTCCAAACCACTCGCCGCGGAGAATCGCGACATCTTCACGGCAAGTTTTCGCGCTGGTTCAAGGAGGAGGAGGAGGAGCAGGAGGAGGGGAAGGTACCCCTGCAACAAGAGGCCGCTGTCGCCTGGTTTGGCGACGGAGCGCGCTTTTCTGTACAGAGCATCGCTTGACCGATCCCTACACCCCCTGGCGTGGCCCTGACCCCACTGGCCAACTTACCCACCACGGTGGGGAGATGTGCCCAGCCTCTTGAAGAGGCGGTTTGAAAAATGGGTTGGTGAATTAGCTGCGCCAGAGCTGCGTGAGCTCCAGCAGACTTGGCCGGAGCTGAAAGCGATTTTCATCAATTCGAGGCCAGCGTGGGCTTGGGCACACATCAAAACCATGGTGGGCGGGTGGACGACCACACACAGAGTCAAGGTCGAGACGCCTGCCAACTGCCTTTTTCGGATGCCCTCATTGTCCGGATTCTTTCCCTCACTATCTCACTTGCCCCCGCCTCTTTGGCTTTATGTCCCTCGTTCGCTCCCCTCTCCCCTCCGATCCCGTCATCCGCATTGGGCTCGCTCTCCCGCCATTGTATACTTCCCAGTTCGAGCGAGAGAGCGCCCATGCATACACGGTGCTGTCATTTCACTTTTATAATAAAGTACGGCACGCTGCATCCCCACCCCAATCGGCCTCATCATACGTCCACTTACTGCGCGCAGCTCAAGCTGCCATCAGCATGTTGATGCGCGGGCACCTGCTGCGCCTCATGCTACTTGCGCTCTTCCTCCTCCTCCTCCTCCTCCTCCTCCTCCTCCTCCTCCCCCTCCTCCTCAGGAGCAACCCTGGCCCAAGACACCGCTCAGCTCCGACCGCGCGCTTGCTCATCGAACCCCATGTGAGCACCGCATCCAGGGCAGCGCAGCGGGGCTGGACCGTCTCGGGCCAGAGCCAGCATGAGCACACTCTCCTTCCTTTTCTGGGCTATGAAGATTATCTTTCACAACGTGCACAGCGCCGACTATGGGCGCCTCGAGGAGATCTCAGAGCACACTGAGACTAACGACATCGTCGTCTGCATAGGCACTGGTAAAGCAGCACACATCGAGAGCGAGATAACCCAGTGTCAACTACCGCATCATCGAGCCATTCAGTTTGGTTGGAAAAAGAGTAAAGTTTCGAATCGCTCGTGCGGGCTTGCCCTCCTGTACGGGAAGCGTTTGACGGGCACAGTGAATAGCATTCAAGTACCACCTAAGTCACGTGGGCTATCGGGCAGACTGGGCGTGGTACGATTTCATTTGGGAAGCATGAAGCTAGCTATATTCTTAATATACCTACCTCCAAAGGGAGTCGCGGCGAAGACACTTCAGAACACAGTGAAGGCGGCGCTGAACTGGATCCAGCAGGAGATGGACACGATGGGCAGCAACTGTCTCCCGCTCATCATAGGCGACCTGAACTGCACGTTCGGAGTCAGGACGGACATGGCGGGCAGGATGTACGTAAAGGAGACCGACGAGGTGGGGATCCAGGAGCCCGCCCTGGAGGGAAGGGTATCAGGCATGATTCGAGAATTTCTTACGGAGAACCACATGGCTGTAGCAGATACGTTCTGGAGATCAGGGCGACCTTCTTCCAGGGCATGCATCGCAGCAAGATAGACCACGTCATCATGCCGCAGATGGCACTCGCCCGCGTCAAGAGGCTCAATGCGCTCCAAGGGCTTGGAAGAAAGTTGCAAAAGTATGTTTCGACACACTTGCGCGACCACGCACCGGTTTCTCTGGAAATGGACGTTGGAATTACCAGGGCCCATCAAGCACAGTTTACACCTCCAGCTAACCGCGATGCGATGATGACAGCGTACTCGAACGGATACCGCAGGCAAGGATTTCTCGAGAAGGTCGAAGAAAAGACAAAGATGATCCCAGAAGACCAGTGGCGGGCTACCTGGGACCAAGGGGGCGCGCAAACAGCGTGGAACTTGTTATCATCGTGCATCAGAGACAGCATGACCGAACATTTCCCCAAGCAAGAGAATAACATCATCGACTACGAGCAGTTGCGCGAGCAGAGGATGCAGCTCATTCGAGAGAGAAGAGAATTACGACACCGATTGCACCTCACTGGGGGCAAGAGTTTCGAGGGGAACGGCTCCAGCGAGTTCGACCGCATCGCGCAGCAGTTGAAGGAGTTGACTCGTCGCATGCAGGAGCTTCGAAGAAAGCAGCAGATAGAAAAGACCAGCATCCTCGTCGATCAGATCCGCAGAGCGCGGCGCAAAGGACGCATGGCGGAGATGTATAGGTTGAAGACGTCGCTACCAGGAACAGGAAAAGGTCCGAAAAAAAGGTTCCTATTTTCTGCCAGACAAACGATGACAACTATCGAGTGGGAAACAGGAGTGGCACAGGAACCCCAGGACGGAGGAATGCGGTGTGCACGTTTGAACTGGGACGATTGGATATCGGACCGCAGCTTCCTTCCTCACCTCCACTCCCATGCAGAGCTTACCGAACTTGTTCGCACAGATCGGCTTGGGCAGATCGCATATTTGAGGCGTGCGCCCAAACGGAGGGCAGGACCTGCTTGGGGCGTTTTGTCTGAGGCACTTGGGATGTGCATCGATTATCGGATGTATCGGTTTTCCAGGCGCCGAAAGTATGTACCAGAAACGTTCAGCAGAAGATGCAACGACCTTTTGGCGCTGATCCGCATTGTAGGGTTTGCCCCGCTCACCTCGCTGCGTTCTCAGTCATTTGCGCAGCCGAAGAACAACGGCAAAGTTGGCATCAAGAGCCGGAGAGTCTTGCACTGCTTCGACGCGTTCGGAATGTCGTGTTTTTTTTTTCGGCCACTTGCACCGCGTTTCGCGTCGACCCGACCCGCCGCATTTTGCTCGCGGAGGGCTTCGAGGGAGGAGAAGGGAGGGATGCATCTTATCACTGTCTGCAGCGTGTTGGCGCTGTCGTGACGGCAAGCTGAGTCGCACGATCTCGAATTTCGACGGCGCGAACGCATTTGCATGCGCGCATCGCCAGGCATTGCACGAACATCATGCACAGAACGGACGTAGCGAGCACATAGGGTTGCTCGATCGAGCAGTGGACATGGCGACCATGCACGCTACTGGGATAGACGGGGAAATAGACCTACTACCACATGTCGGCACTACCATGGGGCATTCGATGGCGGCGGGGGACTTCGTAGATATACTCCCCCACGGTCGATAGCTGGAACAACGAGCTAGCTAACGCGGACATCAGCTACAGTTGGCTTCGAGGGCCCTCGGTCACAGGGAATCAGGGGAACATTGGCATCGGGGTCGGCCTTTTCGTGGACGACGTCACTAGGCTACATGTACATGCATACCCTAACAGCAGCAAGTACATCGCGCAGCAACTGAATCATGCCACAGAAAGGCTGCAAGCACATATTGGCAAAAATGGGCACCAGCTAAACGCGGACAAGACAAACCACCTCATATCACTCAGCGGAGACGGGGCTTACCGGACAGCCAAGGAGCTCGCCAAGCAACGTTTTCTCCAGGGTGATGTTTGTCGTGAAAGCCGCGTCCTGGGCCCTATCCTCAGCTTTGACGGGAAGTTGCGAACCGAGCTTAAAAACCGTATCCGAGGGGCTCGTGCGGCTTGGCGATCTTTAGGTGCGGCGTGGCATCAGGCACTGGGCTACAGGCACTTACGTACATTATTTCTTTGTTTCGTGTACAGCGCGGCCATTGCAGGACTGACGGCCTTCGCGTTGCCGCCAGAGTTTACCCAGGCGCTCGACACGACGCTTATAAAGCTCCTTAGAAGTATGATGCATGGTAGAGCTAAGCAGTATGGAAATCGAATACGGACGTTATCTAATAGGCAGGTTTTTGAATATTGGAATTTGCGCGATACCGCGTCGGAACTACGCGTGCAGCGTCTGCGGTGGTATCAGGCAATGGCCCGCCAACCAGACAACCACCAGCAGGTGCTCATGGCGATATTAGGCACCACCGAACTTGACCGCCAGCTTGGGCGGCCAAGGATCACTTCAGGTGGGCGTCTTACCTGTCACAGCACGCCCTGGGCGAAGCAGCGCAAGCACGACATCGCAGCGCTTGCCGGACTCGAAAGCTCGTTGGACGTGGCCTGGCAGGACAAAGAAAGACATCCTCAGCATCTTCACCGATCGTGAACTCGCCGTTGCGTTTGCCAAGATAAAGGTATCCGACAACAGATATCTTCTAAATCAAACAGGTGCAGAAATACTACAGCGTGTCAGGAGGCCGGTGGGACTGGAGGCGGCGGACATAGGCGGGAACCAGCAGCACAGCACAGAGCGGCACCAGCACGACGGCACGAACAGCGAGCACATCACAGTGACTGACGAATGGATATGCACGCATGAGAACGATGACGGTACGACATGTGGAAGCACGTTTCAGACACTAAAAGGACTCACGGCGCACATCGCGCACGCACATCGAATGAGAAACATGCACTCGATTCTTATCATTACTAATGTGTGCCCATGGTGCCGCGCGGCATTTGCATCCAGAGAATCGTGTCTGCGGCACTGCCTTACTATGGATCGTAGGGTTCCTCGCACTTGCCCTACTCGCTCCACGTCCTTTCGCGTTTCGGCCCATTGAGTTTCCTACATACGTGTGCGGATATTGTGCCGCGGAACATACCGTACTCCACGAACATTTTGAACGCGTCTGCACGCGCGTCGAGGGACCCGATGGCGCAGAATTGGAGGCTCAACCTCGCGTCGAGGCCGAGAGGATCAGGAGAGCAGCTCGGGCAGCCAGCGGCCAAGTCACCACGCCGTGGCGACCCGAGGAAGCAGAATGGCAAGAACGTTGGCTCCGAGGTGAGCGGAGAGGAAATACTCGCGCTCGGGAAACTGTCGCTGAACAACGCGCAGCAGATCAGGGCCATCTCAGGCAGCCTGTGGGACTTCTTCCTGGTGGACGGCAACGACCACGCGGCAGTCAACGCGGGGTCAGCAGCGGGTGGGAAATATGCGGAGCGGAGCCAGGCAGGAGAGAAGGACTTGGGCAGCCCGCGCGTCTACGTGGCAGCGGAGTTTCTGGGCGCGTTGGGCCGAGCCGAGAATCTACCGACACACCTGAAGGAGGACATGGGCAAGCTCAGCATGATCATGGACGTGATCCCGTTCAACGAGCTCGCCGACCTCGCGAGGTCCATGAGGGTGAAGAAAGCCTACCAGGAAGATGGGCAACAGGAGCGGTGGGAGGTACACATCATGCTCAACCCGCTCGGCCTCAGCCCGTTCAACAGCCACGCGGAAGACGAGATCAACAAGATCAGAGCGGGCAACACCGAGAGCCCGATCAAGCTGGAACCGCTCAGCATCCCTCAGATCAGGGCCATGATATACGCGGCGATGCAGGCAACTGGGGGCGTCGCGATCGTGGGGGCTCCGCCACCGACAGCGCTCGAGCGGCAAGTGCAGGAGTACGTGCGCCAGAGGCAGAGCATGGAGTAGACATTCGAGGATTGAGGCGCCAGGCAGCAGCAGGCAGTGTGAGAGCAGCAGAATTACTTCAACGCCTAACTGGCGTTAGGCCATCAGGCAAGCAGAGATGACGGGATGGGGGAGGTAGTGTGGGGGGGGGAGTGTGCGACGTTTTTGCAGCGGCTATAAGTATAGAGGCCTATGAGATGTTCTGAATCGATTTGACCTCGCCCGAGTGTGGGAGGGATGCGCCAGCGTGCGATAACCTCCCACCCGTTCTGCGCCTTACGCGTTGGAGGGATTTTCGGTCCAGTGTCGAAGCGGGCCCGTGAGGCCCGATAAGCCATTGGGTCCCGCAGGCATCCCTCTGCCACGCCGAATGACTCAGCCAGCAGACCCAAGCTCGAGCTTCAGGCGAGCAGCCTCTGCCCAGTAACGAGACAGAGGTAACCGAACTGCCAAGGCTTCCGACTCCGACTCCGACCCCTCCTCCTCCTCCTCCTCCTCCTCTTCCTCCTCCTTCTCCCAGGCCCTCCTAGATTGCCTGGTAGTGACCCCCCATCGAAATGAGACCCCCCTCCCTTTATTGCGAAATCTGGAGTACCCCGCTTTCGGTTACCTCTCCTGCTCCGTCCTCCTGAGCCCCCTGTGGTCCCCCGACCCCGCTCCTCTCCTCAGCACATATATGTCATGGGGCTTGGGCCCCGCAGCAGCGCACCCTTCCGAACCTGCCAGCGACCTCTCGTTGCGGCAGACGATTCGCAGGATCGCTCTGGCCTTCCACCTGTACAACAAAATGAAGCAGTACGCAGCGCCGTCGCCAGCAAATATTGCTGCAGCGATGGCCGCAGCGAAATCTCTCCTGTGGCGTTGAGCCGCTGTCTGCCGTCTCACGCTTTGCCTCACTATCTAGGCAGGCTTGTGCGTGGGCTGGGCTGACAGACGTGGCCGCCTCAAGGTACGTTCACTCCTCCTCCTCCTTCTCCTCCTCCTCCTCCTCCTCCTCCTCATCCTCATCCTCCCCCTCCCCCTCCTCCCCCTCCCCCTCCTCCCCCTCCTCCTCTTCCTCCTCCTCCTACCAGTTCCACGGATCCCCAACTCGTGTTGGCGTGTGCCCGAGGAAGGGGCCGGTTCGGCCGCGCCCGAGCTGCATCCCGCCCCCCCCACCCTCGTCGGCGCCGCCGCAGTCCCAGGCATCCGACGATGGGTTCTTGTTTTTTCAGTGCGCGGCCGCAGAGACCCCGCCTTCCCTGGGAGGTTTTTTCCCCAATCAGTGCTTGCACTGAAGGGGTCCTAGAGGAAGTTAAAAGATTTGGCAAAAGTTTCCCGCCGATTTTGGTAGCAGGCTGGGTTCCCGGGTTCCTGGTTCCAGGTTCCCCGGTTCCCGGTTATTGGTTCCGGGCCGATTTCGGTGGGTTATGGGTTCCCGGGCTCCCGGGTTCCTGGTCGATCTCCTCAGCGAAAACCATCCACTGATAGGAGTTTTTCTTCTGGTGTATGATGGTGATGATGTGATGCGATGTTTGATGTCCCCGGGGCCCGGTGGTGGGCCTCAGAGGCCGACATCGATGCAACACTCGTTGAGAGTGACGAGGCCGATCGTCGGGGAGCTCGGGCCGCCGTCGTCGCCGCCCCTCGGCCCGCCTCCCCGCCCCTTTTCGCTGCCCCTCGACCACACGCAAGAGCGACCCAAGCGGGCCCAATGGCCCCCGCCCCCAAGCGCTGCGCGCGCAGCGGCACAAGCGGCCTGCGCACCAAGAGTTTGGAGCCAGATTTCGCAAGATTGGCCCTTCGATCACACGCAAGGATCAAATTTCGCGTCTCGGCCTTCAGGGGTTCTGCTGGTAGCGGAGTGGTAAAGCGTCGCGGCGCCCCTCGGGAGGCCGAAAAAGGACGCACCGCCACCCAGCAGGATTCCCCTTTGTTCAGCGTGTTGTAGCGTCGCAGTGACCTTCGGTGCGCGGGCCCAATGCCCCCCGGGAAAATCGCTGCGCGCGAGGCGGCACGAGCGGCCTTCGCGCGAGCCAGCCAGAGCTCTGCTTGGGCGTTCGGTAACGGGGGGGCGATAACTGGGGAGAGGCGTCGAGGGTTGCACGAAAGGGGCCATAGACGAGCCCCCTGGGGCCCCGAAGGGGTACGAAAGGTGCAAGAAAGGTGCACCTTTCTTACCCCCCCTTTTATCGCCCCGCCCCTTAGTGAACGCTCGATCTGCAGGGTTTAAAAGGCCACGGCCTCACGCGACTTGCCCGAATGGGCAGAGGCCCTCCAGGCCCTCTGATCAGGCCCACTCCTCGGTGCCCTCCCCCCCCTCGGGCCCCCCGTCGACTGGGCCACTCTTCTCGGGCGATCGCAAACACGGATCAAGGGGGCGTGGAGTAGCGACGGGCCCCGTTCCCATGGGAAATCGCGGATTTCCGACGCCGGGCGAGGCGGCACCGTCCGCCTTCCAGGGAGGGCACCTCCCCCGATCCATGGAGTCTGCGACCGCGCGCCACATCCATGGATCGCGAATCCATGTTTGCGCACCCCCGATAACATATGGGGCATCTTGGGATTTGTGTGTATTTGTATGTGTACTTGTGTGTTTTTGTGTGTTATATATATATATATATATGTATCTATATGTATGTATATATATATATATATATATATACATATATATATATATATATATATATATATATAGATGTGTGTGTGTGTGTGTTCTGTCCCTGACATCTCTTGCTGTGCTCTCGAGGGTGACCGCTCGACTGGATGTCGTTTCCATGATCCTTTTTGGCTCTGTAGTTCGAGAGGGCCGCGCTCACACCTTCCATGTGGCCATGGCTGGCCGATCGCGGCGCCAGCCTTGCTCTCGGCTACCTCGGGCGGTGCCCCGCGGCGCCGAGCTGCCCGCCCTGCCCGAGCTGTAACTTCGCCTGCGCGCACGTTGTGTGCCCGGCCGCGCCGCCGTGCCCGGCCTGCCCCGCGGGGGCCTTCCCGGCGGCCGCGCCTCATGAGGTGCCGGCCGCCCCGCGGGGCCCACAGGCGCCGCCTGCCGGGCCGTGCCCGGAGCCAGCGCCCTGTGCGGGCGGGACTGGAGGCTGGTGGATATTCCTGCTCGGCCTCCTCGCGGGCGTGCTCCTCAGCGCGCTGGTCCGAGCCGCCTGGCGAGCGGCGGTGGCCTCCGCCCGGGTCTTCGTGGCTCCCCGAGCGCGTCCAGCTGACGCGCCGGCCCTGGCGGACGAGCAGCCTGCCGCCGCAGCCGCCCCTGGCGGGCTCTCGGAGGCAACGCCATCATCGCTGAGGAGACGGCATGGCGGCATGGCGGCCCGCACGCTTGACATGCCAGAACGACAGATCTTGGTTGATTTCTTCGACGACCCCAGTTTCGATGGCACATGCGATTGCTAGTCCTGGCCACGCCGAATCCTGGACAGTGGATATGCTCGACGCCAGACCTGAGCATTCAGATCATCGGCGTCACGACTCACAGGGTGATCCCTCTCACGCGGGACTCAGAGTTCCCTCGGCGGGTCAGGGGCGAGGTCTACGCTTTCGACCCTCTGACCCCAGAGGAGCTCCAGCAGGTCCGCCGGGAAGCCAAGGAGCTGCTGGCCGTCTACGGGCTCACGGGGGCCGCGGACGCGCAGCCAGAGGGTGGGCGGTGGCTGATCGCCGACCCCGCTCACCCGGGCTTCGGTGATGCGCTCCCTGCTGCGGCCCTCGCCGACGGGGACAGCCTCATCATCCGAGGCGATCGGGGTCTCGCCTGCGTGGACGAGGATTGGCTCGCCGTCGAGAGGGTGCTGGACGAGGACCTAGACAACTGGCGGCTCCTCAAGTCGACTGGCGCGGGCCGCGACAGGCGGATCCTTGGCGACGAGCGCGTCAACGGGGTGCCTGTGCTCTCTCTGACCGCCGCGGCGCGGGCCAGCAGCAAGGCCCTGCGGCCTGGCTGGCCTTTCCGCGGCGACGCCTGCGCCCCGGAGCTGGTCATGGCGCTCGTCGCTGCTGGGATCATCTTCATCGCGCACCACCTGGACTGGAGGACGAAGTCGGGGGTCAGTACCACGTCGGGCGTCTGCAGGACGCACCGCCGCATCTGCGAGGGCCTCGACCAGGCCATCTGCTACGACCAGCTCGACTTCGCCAACTGCGCGGTCATCGAACACCTTGCCCGCTGGCTCTACGAGGTCGAGTCTGCGGTCAGAAGGAATCCGAAGGTGCCGGACTTCACGAACCTGGGCGGCATCTTCGCGGCTCCAATGGCCGAGGACGGGCGGACGCAGTTGCCGACCCTCTCCAAGTGGGTCTCCTCGCTCCGCCGCGACGAAGCTCAGATCATGAAGCAGGAGCGGCTCTGGAGCGAGGAGCGCGGGATCGACCACACCAAGCACAAGGGCAAGGGCGGCAAGGGGCCAGGCCGCGGCGGCGGCAAGGGCCCCAACCCCTCGGCCGAGTAGGGGCCTCTGGCCCCGGGGCGCCCGGGTCAATGGGGCAGGTTTTCTGGCGACGCCTGCTTCGACATCGCATGCTGCCCGGGCGCCCCTCTTGTCGCCATCTCCGCGCTGACGCCCCTCGAGGACGACTTCCTGGTCGGTGGAGGCCCCGTCGTGAGTTGCGGGCGGCACGGACGAGCTTGGCGTCCGACGATGCCGGCGACGGCCCTCGACCTGATCCGGCCAAGGACTACCGCACCATCCAGGGTCACAGTCACGGAGACCCCTTCCCCCTCCCGCTGTCTGGGGAGGTGTTCGCGCGCGGCGGCCATGCTGGGCCTGCATCGCGCTCGCGAGCGCGGTGCGTGCGCGAGGCGATCTGGTCTCTGAACGCCCTCGACGCCCCATCGCGCGCCCTTCGGGCGCATCAGCCTTCCTCGAGCCGCCGCCTCACTGAGGCGCAGCGCTCGATCATCTCGCGCGTCGGCCGGCGCATCGAGAACTACGGAGAACGGCCCGACATCCTGCCCGCCACCGCCTACGCCGACCTCATCAAGAGTCACGACCTGTACTCGGGGCAGCCGATGAACCTGAAGCCGTATGACCCCGACCTCCTCAATGCACTCCATCGCGACCGTCGCCCTCAGGAGCTTCGCGGTTGCCTGGGGTCTGAGGGTCGCAGGTACCTGGACAACGCCGACGAGCTCATCTTCAGGACTGAGGCCGAGCTGGACGCCCTCCAGGAGAGCGAGCTGATCCAGGCCATCACGCCGCCCTGGGACCCGATCCTCAAGAACAACCGCCGGGCCAGGATCGGTTTCATCAAGCGCCCCGCCTCCGTGGGCCTCGTCGGGTTCAGGCTCTTCGTCCGCGGCCGCATCGGCGCCTTCTGCGTGAGCAAGAAGGACGGGTCACTCCGCCTCGTCTTGGATGGGCGGGAGCCCTCCTCGCTCTACAGGAGGCCGCCCCACCCCGCCTTGGGATCCGCCGGGCCCTCGCAGGGCTCGACCTTCCGGATCAGGCCTTGCGGTCTCAGGGCGTCGACCCCGTGGCGGCCGACATCCACGCGGCTGGCCTGGACCTCAATGACGGGTTCTACCAGTTCGCGAACGACGATCTCGCGGACTGGTTCGGGTTCAACTACCCGGAGGCCGCGTCCGACTTCGGCGACCCGCTGGTGCACATCCCCGCCGACGGCCGTTTCGTCCAGGTGTCGAGCGACACTCGGGTCTTCGCGGTCTTCCGGGGTCTCTTGATGGGCCGGTCGTGGTCACTGTTCTTTTGCCGAGATCTTCTGGAGGAGGCCTGGCGCAAGTGCCTCCTGAGCCTGGGGCGCGATGACGGCGGCCGCCTGGTGCACGAGCGGCGCCCCGCGCCCTTGCTGGCGCCCGGCCGCCCGCTGCCCCAGCCCTACGTCGACGACGCCAACGTCATCGGCTTCAACCGCAGGGACATCGCGCAGCGCTTGGACGAGCGAGCCCCCCTGGGCCGCCGCCTGCTGGACGAGCTCCGAGCGGTGAAGGGCCTGCTGCTGCTTGCCGACGTGGACCTCGCCGCCCCCTGGTCGCGCGTAGTCTACTGCAGCGACGCGTCAGGCGGCGAGCTGCGCGGCTGGACAGGCTGGCCCTTCGCCGTCGCGGGGAACGGCGGCCACGCCCTCCACGAGATGGCTTGCGCCGACTACGAAGTCGCGCAGGCCTTCAAGTACCGCGAGCGCTGGAGGTTCAAGATGGAGGGGGAGGAGCTGGTCGCGCCGGGGGCCCCGAGTGACGGGATCCGCGGCTGGGCCCCTGAGCCCGCGGCCACCTCCGACCTGCTCATCGCCGGCCTCCTGGCGCCCTGCGCCAAGCCGTCGGTGATCGCCCGGCGCCTCCCTCGCACGAGGACCGTCGTCGCGCAGGGTGCCGCGCCAGCCCTGGACGACGCCCTCCTTGTCCGCAGCCGCACGTGGAGGCCCGGGCCTGGCGCCTCTATCTTGGTCTGAAGCACCTGCTGCGTGTGCGCCGTGCGTCTGGCCGTGCCCTACGTGTCGTGTATGGCCACCTGGTCAACCACTTCGTGATCGCGCGGCCGGCGCTCTCGGCGTTGGATGAGGGGCGCCGCTTCATCGCGCAGCGCTTGGACGAGCGAGCCCCCCTGGGCCGCCGCCTGCTGGACGAGCTCCGAGCGGTGAAGGGCCTGCTGCTGCTTGCCGACGTGGACCTCGCCGCCCCCTGGTCGCGCGTAGTCTACTGCAGCGACGCGTCAGGCGGCGAGCTGCGCGGCTGGACAGGCTGGCCCTTCGCCGTCGCGGGGAACGGCGGCCACGCCCTCCACGAGATGGCTTGCGCCGACTACGAAGTCGCGCAGGCCTTCAAGTACCGCGAGCGCTGGAGGTTCAAGATGGAGGGGGAGGAGCTGGTCGCGCCGGGGGCCCCGAGTGACGGGATCCGCGGCTGGGCCCCTGAGCCCGCGGCCACCTCCGACCTGCTCATCGCCGGCCTCCTGGCGCCCTGCGCCAAGCCGTCGGTGATCGCCCGGCGCCTCCCTCGCACGAGGACCGTCGTCGCGCAGGGTGCCGCGCCAGCCCTGGACGACGCCCTCCTTGTCCGCAGCCGCTGGAAGATGATCGTGCGGGGCGCCTTTCGGTGCAGGGCCTCCATCCACGGGAAGGAGGCTCGGACTCAGCTCGAGGCCTCGTCCGCGCCTCGCGTGACCCCCGCATGCACGGCCTCCGCATCGGCAGCTCGGGCGACAACATGGCGGCGCTCCTCAGCTTCGAGAAGGAGCGCGCCCGGGACAAGGCCCTCCTCCAGCTCTGCCGAGTCAGCGCCGCCCGGCAGATCGGGTGCGAGATCCAGTGGAAGCAGCGCCACTGCGAGTCAGGCCGCAACCCGACGGATGCCGACAGCCGTGCAGCCGACCTGGGACACGTTCTATCTGACCACCCTCAGCGTGGCTGCCAGCGCGCCCTGGCCAGCATCGAGTCGGCCAACGCAGGGTTTGCGGCGGAGCCTCCGGGGCCTCCCGCCCGTGTGCGCCGCCCTGCGCCCATCGAGCCGGCCGCCGGCCTCTCGCCCGGCGAGGCAGCTGCGCGCCTGGCTCGGGTAGGCGCCTTCGCGCGGCGGAGGCCCCCTCGGGCTGGCGCGGCCCCCGGGCGCCCAGCGCCCGAGCCTCCCCGCGCTGCCCCGCGGGCGCCGCCGCGCGGACAGCCGTGCCGGCGTGCTCGCCCACAGCCGCGGGCAGAGCTCCCCCGCCCGACCGCGGCCGAGGCGCCTCGTCGGGACCGCAGCCGTCGCCGGGCATTTTGCGAGCTCTGCGCGGGCGCCGGCAGGCTCACAGCAGCCGACAGAGAAATTCGATTGCACTGTGCTCCACACTTCGAGATTCGAAATGGGAAGCATTTCGACGTCCATCATCATTCTGTCTTTCGTACCTTCTCACGTTGGATTCGTCTTAAGAAGCTTTGGTTCATTCATTTCGGTACTCCATGCACACTCTTGTCACTTGCTACTGGGTCCCGTCGGGCTTCTCATCAGCTTCAAGGGCTTCAAGCTGCTCGTGCTACCTTACGGCCCTTACGGCTATGTCATCAGTACGGTGTGCGCTGGTCTCTGGAGAACCCAGCTGGGTCCGAGCTCTTCAGCTGGGGCCCCCTCATGGACTTCCTGAAGGCCTCAGGTGGCAACTGGGCTCTCCTTCACTACTGCCAGTACGGCTGCGCGGCTGCGCCTATAAGAAGCCCACGCACCTCGCGCCGAGCCCCCCCCAGATATCACTTCTCTCGAGCGCCTCTGCCCAGGGAGCCACAGCCACGAGATCCTCCAGGGCAAGGCGTCCCTCACCTCGCCCTCGGGGGCCATCCGCAGCCATTGGAAGACCAGCCTTGCGGGGGCCTGCCCACCTAAGCTTTGCCGCAGATGGGCTCGCCTCCTCGCGGCTTGCGCTCCCCGTGGCGCACGCTGTGTCCACGCTGGTGACCCGCTCAGCGACGACTGGGGAACTGAGCTGGCGGCCAACTTCCCAGGAGGAGGCATCCAGCTCCAGCGGCCCCAACCCTCCTGCCCGTCTGGGTCGCCGCCCGAGTGGCCCGCCTCGGCGCCGCAGCGGGGCGCCGCCTGGTCCAAGCCTGCCGCCGCTGGCGGGCAGGCGCCGGGCCGGGGCGCGCGCGGCCGAGAGCGTCGGGGCGCGCCGGCGCGAGCGGGCAGTCGGAGCGGACAGGCCCTACCTCAAACACCAGCGCGTCCAGCCCCGCGCCGTCTCCTTGCGCCGCGAGGCCCACCGCAAGTTCAGCCAGTGGGCGTCCGAGCAGCACCTCCGCCGGGTGTCCATGGACGAGACCGACCTGGCCATGACAAGGTACCTCGACCACCTGTACTTCCAAGGGCTCAGCATCGCCCACGCCAGGAACGCCGTCCACGGGGCGATCTTCGTGAAGGATTACCCGCGAAGGTCGCCGACCACCATGTACCGTGCCAAGGACGCCCTGGCCGGATGGTTCAAAGCAGGGCCCGATCGAGTCAGAGATCCTCTGCCGTGGGAGGCAGCGGCGTTGATCGCCGACGACCTCGCCGAGAGAGACCGCGAGGGGGTCGCCGCCACTGGGGCCCTGCTCGTCAGCTTCGACGGGTACATCAGGCCGAGCAACACCCTGGCCATCACGAGCCGCGAGGTGAGCCAGCGCCAGGCCCGGTCCAACCCCAACTACCCGAGCCTCGTGGTCACGATCGCGCCTCAGGCCGACGACCATGGTCAGCAGCCTGCCCCGTCGACCAAGTCGGGGGACCACGACTGCACCATCGTCTTCGGCGACCAAGCCAGTCTGAAGGCCAACAGGGGCATCTGCCGCGACGCCCTGCTCTGGGCCTCTCGCAGGCCCGACGCGGCAGGCCCCTCTTCGACATCAGCCTCGCAAGGTACGAGCAACTCTTCAACCAAGCCGTGGCGGACGTGAAGCTGGGCTCTCTCAAAGCCACGCCGCACTGTGCAAGACGCGGGGGCCCGAGCATCGACGCAGCTCTCAAGCTGCGCCCTCTTGAGGCCATCCAGAAGAGAGGCCTCTGGCGCTCGGCTACCAGTGTGCGGCGCTACGAGAAACATGGCACTCTCATGCGCCAGATTTCAAAGATGACATCTGCCCAGCTTCGTTCTGTGCCGGCAGCCCTGCGTAGGCTGCAGAATAGGGTCAAGCTTTGAGTTTCCCACCCACCCTGCCCTAACAGTCCGCTTTACGGGGTTCGGGATGAGGTGAATATCTCGATAATTCAGGTTTTTCTCTTGTACTGTGGCCCCGCCACAGCAGAAGCGACGCTCTTGAGTGGAACCCTCTGGCTAAAGAGTTATCTGTTGCGCTTCGCGCGCTGCATGGCCCCTCAGCCCACGTCTGCTCTGGTCGCCCGTGTAAGTAGCCTACTGGTGCGTAGCAATGTTCTGTCCCTGACATCTCTTGCTGTGTTCTCGAGGGCGACCGCTCGACAGGATGTCGTTTCCATGATCCTTTTTGGCTCTGTAGTTCCCACCCTCCCTCCCTGGGATGAGGTGAATATCTCGATAATTCAGGTTTTTCTCTTGTACTGTGGCCCGGCCTCAGCAGAAGCGACGCTCTTGAGTGGAACCCTCTGGCTAAAGAGTTATCTGTTGCGCTTCGCGCGCTGCATGGCCCCTCAGCCCACGTCTGCTTTGGTCGCCCGTGTAGAGTAGCCTACTGGTGCGTAGCAATATATATATATATATATATATATATATATATATATTCTCGTGGGCTCTTCCCCCTGGGTTCGCCGCCGACCAGGCCACTCTTCCTGCGTGCCGCCGAGCCCCGACCCCCCCCCGCCGCCGCAGGAGTGGGCGCGCGCCTCGGCAGTGTCGCCCCCGGGGGGACGCCGCCGCGCCCGTGTGCCGCTTCTGTGGCGGCCCCCCTCACGCCCCATTGGGGGGGCGCGGGGGGCGGGGCGGCCTCGGGCCTCGGGGAGGCAACGTCGGGGCGGGAGGTCGACTCGAGGGGCGAGGAGGACGAGGACGAGGAGGAGGAGGAGGAGGAGGAGGAGGACGAGGAGGAGGAGGAGGAGGAGGAGGAGGAGGAGGAGGAGGAGGAGGAGGAGGAGAACGCGGCGAGGTTCGAGGTTCGGGGTTTTCATGCGTTTTTGCTTGTCTCTGGGTGGTTTTCCAGCCTCGGGGCGCTTATCAGCGGCCAGGCCTCGCCGAGAGCGCTCCAGGGGTGGCCAGATCGTCCCGAATGGCCGCCACAGGCCCGAAGGGTGACCCCAAAAACCACCGGGGGAAAGGCTCGGGGTGGGGCGCACCGACCCCCGATCGCCCAACCATCGCCGAGATGGGCCGGATCCCGCACATGGAGCGCACGGATTCGGCATCGGGGCCTATCGCGATCTTTTGGCGATGTATCGCCGATTCCAGCTCGATGTTTCCCCCACGGAGCTGGTCCCCCGGGCACGTCGGTCGCTGGAAATAGGTAACTTTGGACTCCCAGGTCCCAATCTATTTCAACGCCTTCCTACCTCATGTTTCTACCCATTTCTTCCGACCAACGACTAACGTTGCCCCTCAGGGTCCCCAGCCCTCTTGGGACAGCCCCCGGCTCTTTTCGTTGGCAACTGTCGGGCGGGAGGCCTCCCTGAGATCCGACGATCGGCGTTCGAAACCTGAGGTTTTCGAAAGCTTCCGGTGGCTCCAGGAGGTCCTCGAGCCTCGGGATGCTCTGCAGCAGCTGCGCCTCGTCGAGAGCACTCCAGGGGTGCCCAGATCTTCCCGAGCGGCCGCGGAAGGCCTGAGCTGCGCCAGGAAGACGCTGGGGACCCCAGGCCTCCGACGAGCGAGAATTTGGTCTTGAGTTCCTGGCGCTTCTCCTGGATTCTCGGCCACTGCAGGGGCCTGTCATCTGGTGGGCTTGTTTTCCACCACCACCATAAAGTAGGAGGGGGAGGGGGTTCTTCTCCTCCGCCTCTTCCTCCTCCTCCTCCTCCTCCTCCTCCTCCTTCTCCCGGCCACTTCTCCTGCCAGGTCGACGTCGCCGGGTCCAGCTAGTTCGATTTCTTCTTCTAGTGAAAATGTTGAGGACGAGGTGGAGGAGGACGAGGAGGAGTATCACGTTGAATCTTGGGCAGATTGGTTGCAGAGGACGGCGCGGAACATCGAGCAGCAGCTGGATGCGCTGGGCGTGTCGGACTGGAGGACAATACAGGAGTCGCAAACGGCGTCGCGCCGGAAAGCTGTTGCAATCTGGACAACACAAATGGTCCTACGCAGTTCTTTTCTGGGAGCCGGGGCGCACATATGCGAGGAGGGAACGCACGGGGAGACCCCCTCGAAGATGGGCAGGTGGTTTTACGGACGCTTGTGCATCTTACATTGAACCGGGCGCAGATTGGAAGGCCTACGCCTCTGATCATCAGATGTGGGATGATCTGGAGAAGTGCTACGTGGGCCTCTGCGTGAATTTGTTTTTTTCATGCCATCGCTGCTCAGGGCGGGTCCGCCCGCGCTTCGGCAGCGCACCGCTATTCCCCTTCATTGGGGTCAGCCCTCCGGCTGTGTAGAGCGAGTCCGAGGTCCGAGTCCGAGTGGTGGTGGAAAACAGGCCCACCGTCATCGGGCCATCAAGCTGGTCCATGTGTTTCGCCATCCGTCGCTGGCTCTTCTCCGCAGAGAGGCGGAACGCTTCAAATCGCAGGGTGCGAAACCGAGTTGGAACCGAATGTCGATACCATTTGAGGCATCCCCAGCACTTAGTGAGTGAGCCACGCTGGATGGTAACCGCAACGCCCGTTGGCAATGGTTTGTGACAGGTCTCAGGACCATCCATTCAAACAATGGTGTTTTTATTCGTTCCAGGGGGAAAGTAGTGGAACATCTGTTGAGGAAACGTACTTTCGAAGTTGTTAGTTCCCCCCAGGCGTGTAATGGAGGTAACAGGTTCAGAACATATCCATGTAAGTCCATGGCGAGTTGCCCAACCTTTTGCGCAAGGTGTGGCCAGAAGAGCTGGGAAGATTTTACCAAGGTGATATCGGGGTAAAGACTTATATTGCGAAGGCCTTACGGCCGGTGCCGCCGACCCTGGAGGGCGACCCATGCGTTGTCGTATGTGGCGGGGGGGGCCTCTTGGGGCTTCCTGGGGGCCTCTTGGGGGTCTCGTGGTGGCCTCTTGGGGGCATCTTGGGGCTTCCTGGGAGCCTCTGTCGCCGAGGGCTCGTCGGGCCCCCCGTCTGGGCACCCTGTTGGAGCCGTTTGCGGGGGGGGCGTCGTATCTGAGTGGCGCCCCCCCCCCGGGACCCCCCCCCGGGACCCCCCCGCTACCCCCCCCCCCTCCCGGCGGGGGAGGGATCAAAGGGAAGGGGCTTCCCTTCGACTCAAATACGACGTTGTTGAAGTTCATTTGGGCTGGCGCGCTTGAGCAGGGGCCCCTGCTGGGAAAGAGAACGGGAGTGGCGACGGGCCCACGGAAAGGGAGGCGCAAGGAAGGGGGACGACAGAGACGACGACCAACGAACAACGGGGATGACGTCTCGAACGGAAAAGCCCCTCACACACGCCGACAGGGTCGGCGGATTTGTTGCGAGCGCTGCTTGGGAGGCTCGCCGAGCTGCGCGACTCGCAGGGCACCGATCAGTGGCCATGTGCTTAATGGAGGTGATTGTTGATTCCCTTGGCTCGAAAGGAAGGAGAACTCCCCCCCCCCATGCAGCCCTCGAAAGTATCAGCACGCTCCCAGGTCGCACGCCCCAAGGGGAAAGGCGAGGTCGAATCTTAGTCCGCGGCAAGTGCCCACTCTGTTGCCCCCCCCCCAGCAGCCCTCGATCTGCGCCTGGGTAGGGTCCCCCGCTATGGTGCCCCCCAAGCAAGCCCTCGAAAGTGGCTGCAGTTTCGCAGATCGCAGGCCCCCCCGGGATGACAATGTCTAACCTGCGTCCTTGTATGGCGTCACTGTTTTTTGTTGTTTCTCTCCTTCTCTCTTTCTCTCTCTCTCTCTCTCTCCCTCTCTCCCCCCCCAGCAGCCTTCGAAGGTGGCGACAGCTTCGCAGATCACAGCGAATCTGGGCAGGGCCCCACTATGCTGCCCATCCCCCCTCCCCCCCAGTAGCCCTCGAAGGTGGCGACAGGTTCGCCAATCACAGCCCCCCCAGGGACGACGAGGTTTAATCTGAGTCCGCAGATGGCGTCACTGTTCCCTCCCCCGCAGCAGCCCTCGAAGGTGGCGACAGTTTCGCAAGTCGCCCCCCCCACAGGGATGGCGAGGTCCAATCTGAATCCGCGTATGGCGTCGCTGTGCTGGCCCCCCCAGCAGCCCTCGAACGTGCCGACAGTTTCGCAGATCGAAGCCCCAGGGACGGCGAGTTCGAGTCTGAATTCGAATGGGGCTCGATTGCGTCGGCCCCCCCAGTCGCCCTCAAAACTGCCGATGTTTTCGCAGATCGCACCCCCCCAGGGATGGCGAGGTCTAGTCTGAATCCGAATGGGGCCTCCGAAAGTGCCGACAGTTTCGCTAATCGCAGCCCCCCAGGGACAGCCAGGTTTGATCTGAATCCGGATGGGGCCCCACTGTGCAGGCCACCCCCAGCAGCCCCAGAAAGTGGCGACAGCTTGGCAGATCGCAGCCCACCAGGGATGGCGACGTCTGGTCTGAACCCGAATGGGGCGCCACTGTGTTGCCCCCCCCAGCAGCCCTCGAAAGTGCCGACAGTTTCGCTAATCGCAGCCCCCCAGGGATGGCGAAGCGCAATCTGAATCCCGACGACGAAGGCGGATTGCGGATGAGAAAAAGGGGAGGGGCATGGTGCTGCGTGGGCGCCCTGTAGTCCCGACATAAAAAACGACGACGACGACGACGACGACGACGACGACGACGATGACGACGACGACGACGACGGCCCTTTACAGATGGTGCTGCGTGGCCGTCCTGCCGTCACGAATGACGAGGCAACGGCGACGGCGACGACGACGATGGCTTGTTGCGGATGGCATGGCAGGGTTGGCAGGGTGGGGGTGTTGCGTAGGCGG